TGACAGTCTAAGATCAGAATATCCTCCTGGAGACAGTTATATTACAAAATACGGAGTCTGAGGTGGCTATGTTAGGCAGAAAATTAGATTTGATAATTCCAGGCTAATCTAAACGACCTTCGTTCCCGTCACTGCTCTAGTTAAAAACAAAGTACTTTATGCAAAGCAAAAGCCCTCTGGTACAAAAGACTGTCTGTTGGAGTCTCCTGCACACTTTCACAGGAGTTAGGAACTCTGGAATCAATTCTTCCTGCTTCCTGGGGGAAGGATGCACCACTGATTATCCAGCTATTAACACATTGCTATCGTGGCTTAAAGAAACTGCCACATTCTCTTTTTTTGTGTGTGAAAAAAAATGTGCTTTGTTTGGATATTTAACCAAAGGAAGGGGTTCTTAGACACAACTCTCCCCATAATGCTCCGTAAGGAAAATAGGTGACTGGTTGAGGTTCCGCAGCGGGAGATCCAACAGCAGGAACTGGAATTGTTCTCTCTGTGACTAATTGAGAGAAAGACCTAATGAGGCCTCTGCTCTAAATCACTGTCTGGTGAGGTGGGCATTGATTAGGGAGGGAGTTCGGAGTGTCCATCACCTTACAAATATAGTCTAGTCAATGGACCTCAATTATCTCTGAACTTTCGTCAGTGCAAGTAGCTCGTCTCTCTTCTTATAAGTCTATTTTCCTCTTGAGAATTTAACCCTTTGGTTTGAACAGAAGAAAAATTCAGATTTAAGATAGATTACTTCTGCTTATTCTTCACTTTTTTCCTTACCCAGCAAAGGCCAAGAGATTGATACAGAGCAAAGGCCTCTTAGGAAAAGAACGATTGTCAGTGTTTGAAAGCAATGCACATCTAATTCCTGATTGAAAATGGCAAAACTGCTCTGCTGAAAACTAACACATCCAACTAGCCAAGATTTTCAAAGATTATTATTTTTTTTTCACCTCTAAGGAAATAAAGAATTGATACAGAGATAAGAAGCAATCTTTACTAAAAAAGTGGTGACTTGCTTCCAGCCAAACAGTCATATTGGCAGGTGAATCTGTCATACTATTAATCACTGCTCAGGGAAATGCTGGTGATATTGTGACAATATTGGAATACTACTAATTTTTTTTTTAATACAACTGTACGTGCAATTAAGTGGTTTGGGTTTTTCTGCATCCTCTATGTGTTTTACTCTAATTTATGTCCTGCTTTGGCAATTTAAAGTACAATGCATTAAACTTATAAAGAAAAAAGTCGACTGTCTTCCTTAGCATATGAATGGTAACCATAGGAATGTGCTTATCTGTGACCAGTTTTCAATTGGTATAAATGAGGATGGTACTATAAAGTTTCAATTATCCCTTCTATTTCCAATCTATTAACCCATTAATTAGAAGTATTTTCAACACATACTCCATGCTCACTGAGAAGAGAATGTAAGTTGGAGCTTTTTATTGTGGCTGCAACAATGAAATAAATGCACGAAACTCTCACGCTAAAACTGTTATTCACGGCTTAGTTCAGAATTTTATATTCTACTTTACTGCAATTTCCGAAGAACCTCCTTGGTCTATATCCTTACTATAACTGTAAAAAACAAAATTACAATAGTATGTTTTCCATACTGGAAAGTAAGAACTTTCCACCTATAAAAGGATCCAAACTTTTCAGACATTGTTTATTTTGAGATAACTGACAAAAAAATAATTTAACTATGTATCCGTATCAGCTATGCACGCCCTTCAAAATTCACTGGCAGACCAGGCATTCATAACCAGAATGCAATCCCTCAACCATGCAACTATTTGGATTAATTGCATTAACAGACTTAATTTAGAAGGATTTGGGAATGTTTTTACAAGGTTTAGGAAGGATTTCATCAGGATTACATAATAAGCAGTTTTGAGTGGGCTTAACTGTTCACACTAACTCTCTCGGCAGTCATGAAGAAGGTCAGTCCTCTACTGCTTATTAATTCTTATCCCAGAGTTTGTCATCATAAAGGGTGTTTCACCATATATTTCAACCAGCCAGAAGAAAAAAAAAACTATTCCTTATCGAGAATCTCAGTGCTGACTTTGTTCTTCAAATGATTGTTGGGATTAGAAAAACAGGGCGTGCTTGTATTCTGCATATTTCTGTTCTCTCGTGTTGCCTTCATAGAAAAACAACTTTACTATCTGGTCTAAAAAGGTATTCCATTTAAATTAGGAATTTAACATATCCTATAGTTACCATAGGATAATATTCTTTACCAACATCTTTTTTCAAAGCTCTGTTAATTGCAAGTTTATCTTATCTATTAAAACTGCGCACCAGTGTTCTAAGGCTGACACATTAATCCGAGGGAGAAAATGCACCTAAAACACAGAGTTTGAGCAACTGGATGCTGGTAGCTCTGCTTTTGCAAATAAACCACATCGATGTTATGCCAAATGTCCTGCAACATGAACCGGTACAACAAGGCAGGGAATCAGGGCTTTTGTAAAAATTATGGAAAATGGAATTAAAAAAAAAAGGATTGTAATAATTCTGGGAAACCTGAAACTTTTGAAACAACTGTACTTTTCTTTTTTTCCAAGATCACAACTGCAATAATATACCAGCCATATCAGCAAAAATACAAGCGTCCAGCTCTGAGCACACTGTTCTATTATCCAGGCTACTACCTAAATGTAAATATAATGCAAATGCCCAAACAAATCACAAAATGGTGCCTGAGAACACCACTGGGAAAAATAAGAAAGGCAGCTGTGCACACAGCTCCAGTAACAGGGGGCAAATTTATGAGCACATGTAGATTTACTCAATTTCAGTTTTAAAAATAGGTTTTACCTTTCATTGCAGCGGACTTGCCACTATTTGCTATATCAATTATCATAGCACAGCAGAATGCTATGACTGTTGATGTAACAGTGGACAGGAAGTAAAAAATAGCCAAATGTTAAACTTACACTCGAGTGAGATTTATTTGCTTGTTTGGCCTTGAAATTTGCACATTTAGTTACCTGTAGGAGAGACTATTTCATGTGGACACTGGATTTTTCAAAGTTGAAATAAGGCGTGAACAACTACTGATGGAATTGCCTGCCAGAAAACTTTATATTATAAACCCTGAAATAAATTTAATGAAAGCTTTGTAAGCAATGCATCAGCCTCCTTTTCAAACCAGCATCTTAAAAAATATATTCCCTTTAGCCTGGCAACCGAATGGCAGGAACTGGGATTTCCTGACTCAAGGAATTACTGTTATAGAAGCAGCAAAGATTATTCTACTCATAACACTGTAAACACAAACAGTTAAATATTTCTGTCTTGGCTGCGCTACTACATCATTAAACAAAACCGTATAAGCAATATATTTTTTGTCCCATGACTGTTCTTCATTCAGCTGCTGCCATTTAGGTACTTTTACCCAAAAACCATCCTAATTTAGAGTTCAGCATTGGGCATTTGTTTCAAACTATGAGACTGTCAGACTGGTATCCCTTACCTCTCTTCCCTTTGTTGCAAAAGTACTCTTAAACGCTTTTCTTACAGCAAAGAAACTTCCAACCATTTATCAACCACCACCAAACACTTCAATATAAAGCTCAGCAATGATACTTTTTTGTACGTACCGGGAATCCAACTTTTAGTGGAATAATAGTGCATGCAAAAGGTGAGTTACTTAAGTATCTACTAGAGAAAATTCAGTGTTTACATGAGCAAAAAAAAGGAGTAGAGAACCTTAATAAATGGTTATTTTTGCAGGTTCTGATGCACCTGCAGAATTCGATGTGGAACTGAAAACCCACAACACACTGCACAAACCATCTACTGAGGAATACAGTTATAAAATCCCTTATTGTGAAAAACACTGTATTTGACAGCCAGGAAACAGGAATTGTTATTGTCTGTACTTTCAAGGTGCTTCATATGAATACAGAAACCTGAGTTACGTATCTATTTCTGACTCGGGGGGGCAGCAAAAAAACCAGTTTGAGTTTCACATACCATTTTGGAAGGCTGCTGATTTCTCCTGCCTAGTGAGTTTCACTTTCTGGCTAATGATTGCCTCATTGTTTTAATTTCAAACGATCACAGCAAAAACAGCACTGCAAAAAAGAAAAAAAGAATATATTTGCAACAAAGGGCAGCATACCCTAACTTTAGCAGCACACCTAAATTCACATTTTCATTTCAGCCAACATAATTACTTCAACTTGATTTAGTCGTTTCCTTTCAGGGAAAAACAAATAATTCTTTTAGGAATAAGACATGCTATGATTGATCACAGATAAAAGACTGGATGTGGGCTGCTTATGTAAGAATATTGAGATTTTGACCACTGTGAGGAGGCCTCACCAGGTGGACATTAGGAAACACTGTCTAACGTTCTACCTTCAAAGGCAAGTTCCCTCAATTTTCATAAAGCTCGCGGAGTTTATTACACCCTGCAGCAGGGAAAGGCGCATTTTCCTTGTGTAAACTTGGTGCTGACTGCAAAACCCTATTAAATATTGACTTTTTAAAGACTGAAATTAACTTCCAATCGTGCATGGAGTAAGTCTTGGGAGATGTAGGGGCGAGGGTGGTTTAGACGATACCAGGAGGCCTGTCACAGCTAATAAGGTATCCGAGGACACTGGAAGTGCATACTTAAGAACAAAATAAACAGGATATACCGTGTTTTTTCTGAAGGCTTTCACAAATAAAGCATTCTGATTAACGCTCAGGTCCGTCCAAAGGCAGTCTTATATTAAACACCGTCTGCCCGGGCCTGGTAAAGGGAGGGGGGTGAGGCCTGGCCGCCATTTCGGGCTCCCCCGGGTCCCCACAGCTGCGTCGCCCCGCTCTCCCTTCAAGACCCCCGCGGAGCCCTCAGGGGCGGATCAAACGCCTCCGCGGAGGCTCCTGTCTGTCGGCCCGGGGCTGAACTGCCTCACGGCGGGTAACGGGCGGGCGGTAAGGGCGGCAGCACCGCCCCTGGGGCGGCGGCAGGTCGGGAAGGGCGGAGGCGGGCGGCCATGGTGGAGGGCCCGGGCTGTACGCTGTGCGGAGAGAGGCTGCGGGCGCGGGTGCGGCGGGGCCAGGCGGTGCGGAGGGTGAGCGGCAGCGGCGGAGCCGGCGGCGCGGTGAGAGGCCGGGGCAGGGAGAGGAGAAGGGGAGCGGCCGCTTCTCCTCAGGGGCAGCGCCGGGCCGGGCCGGGGGGAGCGGGGTTTGAGGGCCCGGGTTTGGGCGGGGGTGAATGGCAGCGGGTTTTGGGGAGAGGAGGGAATCGGGGCCCTTAGGGGTTCGGGGAGGCGGGACGGTGGGCCCGAGCACGGGGTAGGAGAGTGGGAAAAGACATGGAGCTGTTGGAGCGGGGCCAGAGGAGGCCCCGGAGATGCTGGTAGGGCTGGAGCCCCTCTGCTGTGAGGACAGGCTGAGAGAGTTGGGGGGTTCAGCCTGGAGAAGAGAAGGCTCCAGGGAGACCTTCCAGTCCCTAAAGGGGCTCCAGGGATCACAAAATTACATAATGGTTTTGGGAGAAGGGACTTCAAAGCCCCCCCAGTGCCACCCCCTGCCCTGGGCAGGGACACTTCCCACCAGCCCAGGTTGCTCCAAGCCCCCTCCAACCTGGCCTTGAACCCCTCCAGGGATGGGGCAGCCACAGCTTCTCTGGGCAACCTGGGCCAGGCTCTCGCCACCCTCCCACCAAACAAGTTCTTCCCCACATCTCAGCTCAATCTCCCCTCTTTCAGTGTCAGCCCCTTCCCCTTCCTCCTATGGCTCCCCTCCCTGATCCAGAGTCCCTCCCCAGCTCTCCTGGAGTCCTGGTCACTTCTTACTCTGGTGTAGTTGAAATAAACCAGAGTGGCTTAAAACTAAAATAAACCTTGTTGCACACCAACTTAATTCTTTTGCCGGAAAGGGTGAACTGTGTATGTGAAAGGCAAAGTAAATGATGTTGATCTTATGCAAAAAATACTTTTATTTTTCAACTTGACAGAATAATAACCATAAAACCCCTCTAAATGTGTATCATTTCAAGGTAATAATACGGTGGGAGATTGTATGGAGAGTAGCTCTGAAATTTTACTAACTAGCTGAAGCCTTGCTGATTTGCCAGAGTGACTTTAATGTGTATTTACTTTGCAATTGAGTTCTATTTGCTTTGCAGTTGAGTGTCATGATTGAAGCACTAGTACTGCCTTGCAGTTAGGGCTCTGGTGACAGCAAATATATTGTGCCTTCGAGGTTTCAGGAAGTTCTCAAGACCTTCAGAGGTCTAGTCTAATCTCAGATTAGATCTCAGGAAGAAATTTTTTACTATGAGGGTGGTGAGACACTGGAACAGGTTGCCCAGGGAAGTTGTGGATGCCCCATCCCTGGAAGCATTTAGGACCAGGCTGGATGGGGCTTTGAGCAACCTGGTCTGGTGGGAGGTGTCCCTGCCCATGGCAGGGGGGTTGGAACTCGATGATCTTTGAGATCCCTTCCAACCCAAACCATTCTTTGATTCTACTCTGAAGTTGACTGGACGAGGCCCTGGGCTGCCTGACCCAAGTATATAATAAAATTAATTATAATTTCAGTAGAGTTTCATGTGCTAAACAAGAAAAGATTATTGCTTTAATCTCACAGGTAACTTTTTCTTGTCCTCTTGTAGCGTCCCACCTGCTGTTCGGCATCTTCTGAGATTAGACTTTCAACTAATAGGAAGAGAGAAATATCTCTGGGGGCTCAGTGGAGGCTTTTCTGTAACACACAATGCCCAATGTGAAACACTGAAAACATGTTGTTATTTTGTACAGAAACTCCAGCAAGAGGCTTTTGGAGAAGGATTTAGGTCTGGAAATACTCTGATGAGTATTTAATATTCAAACTGTACCCATTTAGTTTATATCAGCCTGAAACTCTTATTGTGAATTCATGACTTGAAGGAAAAGGCATAAAAATACCCTTATAAAAAAGATGTATTGTTTCAATTCAGAAAAGAATGAGCTAAGTTATGATAGCATTAGCAGTAGTGACTGGTTGCTTCCTGGGTTAATAGTCTCATTGGTTTTGACAGAGCTGCTGAAGGAGAGAAGGTTTAATATTGTCCAAGTTGGAAAATCAGCTCATGCAGCTACTTGCTGAACGTGTCCTGATGCTAGAATCAAAGTAGTAGAAATTCTGTTTTAATCTTTGTGTGTATGTACTCATTTTCAGGGCTCTGCAAGTGCAAATGGAACCTCTGGTCACGATTTCCTTGTCGGACATGTTTACAGGGGCGTGGAGACGTTGGGAAAGGAACTTTTTATGTATTTTGATGAGAAGGCTTTGAGGTAAGGGGTGAGAAGGTGTCTTCAACTGTATGTATTCTGGGGTCGTTTTGTTCTTGATAATGTCATTTTCAGAGATTTTAAAGTTCGTGTTACCAAGAAAGTTCTCAGCAGCCTCTCTGTAGCACTGGAAATACTGCATTTTCAGATAATTTATTGCTTTATTCTTAGTCTAAGAGTCCATGAGTCTATACGCTGAACAATTCCTGTAACATATAAAGAATCAGTTATGATATTGAGATTTACATCAGAAAAAAGCTGAAAAGCAGGCACAACAGCTGCAAGCTCAACAACTTGGGGTGATCCATCGACACATTTTATATCTTAGTTCCATGTTAGTTGGTGGATCCCCGAAGGACTAACACCCTGTGTGTTCTCCCAGAACCCCCTGTGAATGCTGTAACTGCATTGGAAAGTGGGGTAGGAGAAAGCAAGGTTAGACATTGCAGTCCAGTAGGTGTCAGCTGTCTTTTAGAGTCCAAGTCAGGGTCACCCTTTAACAATTGAAACGGGGTGTAGATCTTATGTAGTGATACCCAGAAAAGGTCTGAGCCAGTTGATAGTTCCCAACAAATTTTGCAGATCATTCAGAGCCTTTATTTGTAACACCAGCTGCAGTGCTTGTGGCTGGATGGTGTGAGTTGCAGTTTTCCATCCTAGATATTTCCAGGGTGGTTTATTACAGCAAACAGGCAGTTTGTATAGGACTACTGTATCTTCTTTCCCAACCCACACTGCAGGCAGTTTGTATAGGACTACTGTATCTTCCTTCCCAACCCACAGCCCCTGCAGCCCCCAGCTGCCCGGCGGGAGGAATTCCCCTCCATCAGTGGGGCACCAGGAGCTGTTTATGGGTCGTTAGGACTTGCTCATGGGCTTTTCCCTGCCAGTGTCCCTGCTGCTTCTGTTCCTTCTTCTGGTCTCTGCTTTTGCCACAATCCTGTTCGCCCACAGTGATCTGTAAAAGGGGAAGGCTTGAAAGAGTCTGTTCCACTCCTTTGCCATCTGTGTGTCTTTCAGTTTATTTCTTTTATTAATTTTTAATTGACCTGCAGGTTTTGCCTTGGTTGTGGGCAAAGAAAAGCCAGAAAACAACATATGGCAGCTGTTAATTACTTCATGGGTGGTGTGATTGGAGGTAGCTTTGATATGATAACGGTGCTGGCAACGTGAGGGCTGGAATCTTTCCTTTCATAACAGGTGACTTCTGCCTGATTTAGCAGAAAATCGTCTGGTAAAGTACTCTCATTCCTTCCAGCCTCCCCAAGGACTTAAGAACTTATGTTGCAAGAGCAGTGTGTCAAGTGAAAAAAGTTTTAAGCGCAATACACCAGAAAATGTGTTACTTAATGATGAGGTTTGATTTCCCTATCATGAATTATGAAGCCTGCTGGAAAAATGCTGGGTTTTGGAGCGTTTCTGATTTGGGGAGGGTTTCTCTGGGAATGAGTACATTCTGACTTGGTTAGGTACGAATAGTTCCTAACTTCAAACAATAGAGTGGTGTAATGCTTGGAAACATTGTTAAGATAAAATACCCCTAAGAACTCTCTTTCCCTCCAAGGATTCACTTTGGTATGAACGGTTCCATGCGCATCAATCCGGGTGGAAACAAAGACAGGACTCAATACACCAGAAAATGTGTTACTTAATGATGAGGTTTGATTTCCCTATCATGAATTATGAAGCCTGCTGGAAAAATGCTGGGTTTTGGAGCGTTTCTGATTTGGGGAGGGTTTCTCTGGCAATACACCAGAAAATGTGTTACTTAATGATCAGGTTTGATTTCTGTATCATGAATTATGAAGCCCGCTGGAAAAATGCTGTTTTTTGGAGCATTTCTGACTTGGGGAGGGATTTTCTCCGGGAATTGAACAGTATGTAAGTAATTTGTTGCTACGTTAGTCTTAGTGACTAGAATGAGTACATTCTGACTTGGTTAGGTACGAATAGTTCCTAACTTCAAACAATAGAGTGGTGTAATGCTTGGAAACATTGTTAAGATAAAATACCCCTAAGAACTCTCTTTCCCTCCAAGGATTCACTTTGGTATGAACGGTTCCATGCGCATCAATCCTGGAGGAAACAAAGAGAGGACCGGAGCGGTACCGGCTCTGGAGATAGAGCTTACAGAGGACACTGTTTGTTTTTTCGAGGTGACAGTAGAGTACAGGTAAGGTAGAAACTAACCACCTTAAACACAGCTTGGTTTATTTCTTTTTATAACATTCTTTTAAGAACATAGTGAAAAATCACACACGAATTGGGAAGTGCTTGGATGACAGCCATCCAAGAAGAAAGAAAATAACTTTCTAAACATACTATGTTTATTGGTACTGTAATTTAATTTTGTTACTTTTGTATCAGTTTCAATACAGTTAAAGTACTTCTGTGCCATGGGCTCTTTAGATAGTGTCAAGACTGGGAATGAAAGTTGGATTTCATTCTGTCCTTATATCTCAATGCTGAACCCCATTGCTCCTTTAATTGCCACACAGGTCTCACTTCCTTAACAAGAATAAGGGCCTGTGATAATTATTGGTTTCAAATTTTTATTTGAAGGTTGTGTTGTTATTATAATTTTCTTTTTGGAAGCAAATTGGTATAATTGCTCTAATTGCCATTAAGAGGATGTTTTTGTCCCATGAGCATTATGCTTCTCACTGCTAATAAGAATAACATGGCAAGCTTGATTTGAAAGCATTTGAGGCTCTTGGATGAAAAGGAATGTGTGAATTCAAGTCACATACAGATGCATTTTGGATATTACAAAATATAAAGGCTTATGTGAGCTTGAGACTTCTTGCACTTCATTTTTTTCAAACGATTATGCTTAACCTATTAAAATCAAGGTTTAAGAAAATATTTTTTATATCATGTTAGTTATGTTTGATGGTCGTTCCATGTTGGAATTAAAGCAAGGACCTGGCAATTATTTTTCAAACTAATAGGGATAAAATGGGGATGATTTCTTCTGTGTTGGACCAGATGCATGTATCATTGACCTGCTCTTGTGAGGGGTAGTTAATGTCATTTCTGTGCCTCTTCCTGTCACTGAAACATTCTGCATATAATGCTCTATTATACTATCGTGTTGTTTTTAAAACGATACTGCTATATCAGCATATAATTCAAACAGATATAAATCTTAATGTACTTTTCTCTTCTAGAAATGCAGCTGAGAGCGAGCGGAAGGTGAGGATGATGGAAAGCTTGGATGTCTGCTCTCCCAAGTTCAGTTTCTCGAGAGCAGAAGGTGAGATGAAGCAGCAGCAAACCCGCATGTTGTGTGACGTGTTACTGGACCAGGCGGTGTTACCCGGAGTGGGAAATATCATCAAAAACGAAGCGCTGTTTGACAGTGGTCTCCATCCAGCTGTTAAGGTGGGTGAAAAGTTTCAAGATTGCTTTTAAAGACATCAAAATGTTAGGAATGTAAATAGATATTTTTATAACATTTTGTCATCATTTTACCTTTGTTTTATCGTCCGTCTAAAGTTATTCAATGAAATGAAATCAGTGTTTTATCATTGTAACTGGAGAGACTTGGCATGGCATTCCTTGGAACCTGCTGCTGCTGCTCCTGCCTGGGAGGAGACATATTTTGTGGGGCCAAGCCTTCTCTGCTACAACTTGAAACCTCTCCTTAGAGAATTCATTTAACTTTCAAATCCAGACTTTGCCTGGCATCCTGTTGCGCTACCATTAAATTGTCAGCCTATAAATAAAGGAAAGTGAAGAGTGCTCAGGGTTTCTCTGTTCAGTTACTACCCAAAATAGTTCATGGGGTAGAGCTGATTATTTTTGTGGCTGTTTCTTCCACTTCCCATCCTGTTAGTGGCATCATTTGCTTTTCTGCCATCGTTTACCATAATTTTTTTGGTTCAGATCCTCACACGCGTGTCTCCAAACTTTGGTTGAAAAGAAGCCTGATGTTTGCAAAACAGATTGAGATTACAGCTATGGGTTTTAAGTTTGTAGGTTTTAATTATAGGTGCATTACAGGTCTTTCTGCTGCTGTCCCTTCGCATCGTAATGGTCTAAAACTCATTCTTCTCTTTCTTCCAGGTTTGCCAACTGAGGGATGAGCAGATACGGCACTTGGTGAAAATGACGCGTGATTTTACCCTGCTTTTTTATAAGGTATTGGCACATCTCTCTGAGAGACCTCTGGAACTTGGCTCCGGCCTGTTAGTTAGCTGTGTGTGATCTTCTAGTGAAAACAGCAAAGAATGGGACAGGACAAGTGTTGCCATCGCCAGGAATGTTGGTTTCTGTGCTCTTTGTTAATTGCACACATTTACATGTAAGATAACGTAAAGGTCACTCTTCAAACTGGGAACTAGAGCTGGCCCCAGGGAAGGAGGAAGGTAGTTCAGGTGCCTTCCTTTATGAAACTTGAAATAGCAAGTATATTTATTTGACTAAATAGATTATAACTTCTAACAACTGTTGTTTGGTTTTTTTCTAACTGAAACAATGTTTTGGGTTGTTAAAGTGAATTAAATTCCAGCTTCTCCCTACTGCCCCAGCTTCACCAGGATTTCATTGCTTCCCCTGTAAACTCTAGTGCTGGTTGCTCTTTTAACTTTCCAAAGTAGAAAAAGAGAGAATTTGACCTCATTCTTGTATGTTTTTTTTATTCTTCAAGCTGCATGCAGAGAAATTCTTGTCTCTTTCTCTTGGTGTTTATGAAAGGCTCGGAGCTAGAAGTTCTTTTTTTGGTAGACAAGGAGGAGGGCACCCGACTTTCCTAATACAGTCTTTCATCATAAAGGTTAAAAATGTAATTTGTTTAATTTGTCTGCTTACATGTCTGCTTTCCCCAAACCCACTGAAGAGGAGTTGAGCCTCTTGGCTGGGGAAATCTCTTTATTCTCCAAACTTCACAGAGAAGGCTATGAGTAAAGCGATAGCATCCGGTTCTGCAACAGCTATAACACCAGGAGATTTAAATGTGTCACGGGCTAATAAACAATAAACAAACAAGTTAAACTTTCTGCAGCTCAGTTGAGCCATTTTCAAAATTTTTATCATCCATACTTAGCAAGTATTTAGCAGTCAAGTGCTTTTAAAGGAGAGGTACCCCCACCCCAAGTCTCTTTAAGGTAAAAGCATAATGAAAATAGGTTAATAGGAGGGGTAGTGCTTGGTCAGTTTTTATAGACTGTTACAGGGTGTTTGTGGTAATCACACTGCATCACCTGGAGTAACACAGGTAGCAAAGATGAGGAATCTCAATTGTGTAAAAAGCTGTTGCTTTTGTTTGGTTTTTAAGTAACTGAATGGGAGGAAGCTACTAATAAGAAACTAATTGTCAACCTCGAGGAGAAATCTCGAGGGGAAAGGCAACTGCTTGTGAATCTTCAGGCAAATATATTGGTTTTAGCTGGGGTATGTCCATGCTGGAATATTTCTGCATGGCACAGTTGTTTAGGTTTTTGGGAAGGTCAGTTGAATCCAGATTGGTGTGTCAGGTCTGAGCTGGCTCTGCGGTGTGGTTTTTTGTCCTTTTTGGGGTGGTGTTGGGTTTGTGGTTTATGTTTGGTTTATTTTTGTTTTCTACTCTCATCAGCTCTTCAAGAACACTCCTGCGGGTGCCAGGTCAAAGACCACTGGTGCTAAATGAGAGCCAGCTGAGCTCAGGGGGTCCTTGGAATATATTTTCTTGCACTGGTTTTTGCCTTGTGTCTTTTATTTCATTCTGTGGAGACTTCCCGACAATATTCTACCTAATTTAAAGTCGATTATTTTCCAAAAAGGAACGTGAAATGCAGATGTTAGCCCTTATAATGTGCCTTAAATATCTTTATATAGTAATTGAACCATCAGTTTACGTAGGGTATTTTTTTGCTGGAGGGTAGAGAGGCTCTGCAGAGAGATCTCGACAGGCTGGATGGATGGGCCGAGACCAACGGGATGAGGTTCAACAAGGCCAAGTGCCGGGTCCTGCACTTGGGTCACAACAACCCCAGGCAGTGCTACAGGCTGGGGGCAGAGTGGCTGGAGCTGCCTGGCAGAAAAGGACCTGGGGGTGTTGGTCGACTGTCGGCTGAACAGGAGCCAGCAGTGTGCCCAGGTGGCCAAGAAAGCCAACAGCATCCTGGCCTGTGTCAGGAACAGTGTGGCGAGTCGGACCTGAGAGGTGATTGTCCCCCTGTACTCGGCACTGGTGAGGCCCCACCTTGAGTACTGTGTCCAGTTTTGGGCCCCTCGCCACAAAATAGACATTGAGGTGCTGGAGCGGGTCCAGAGAAGGGCAACGAAGCTGGTGAGGGGTCTGGAGCACAAGTCTTCTGAGGAGAGGCTGAGGGAGCTGGGGGTGTTCAGCCTGGAGAAGAGGAGGCTGAGGGGAGACCTTATTGCTCTCTACAACTCCCTGAAAGGAGGGTGTAGAGAGGTGGGGGTCGGGCTCTTCTCTCAAGTCACAGGCGACAGGACGAGAGGAAATGGCCTCAAGTTGCGCCAGGGGAGGGTCAGGCTGGATATTAGGAAAAATTTTTTCACTGAAAGGGTTCTCAGCCCTTGGAATGGGCTGCCCAGGGAGGGGGTTGAGGCCCCATCCCTGGAGGGGTTCAAAAGCCGGGTTGATGTAGTGCTGGGAGGTATGGGTTAGTGATGATGCTCCTTGTTTGTTGTGTGGGTGTCTATTTTTGTCAGTTAGTCAGATGGTTGGACAAGATGATCTTTAAGGTCCCTTCCAACCTAGAAGATTCTGTGATTCTGTGATTCAGTCGGGCTGTGGAGGGGCTGATGTAAGATTGATACCGAGTGTCTAACGTGGGGTTTGAACCCCTCTGTTTTCAGTGCCGCAGGACGGGGTCAGCTCTCCACAGACACTGCAGGGTGTACGGGCGGCCCAGCTGCGGGCGGTGCGGCGGGAGGGTGACGGTGTGTCGCCTGGGGGAGAACAGCAGGATCACTTACTTCTGCTCTCGCTGTCAAAAGACAGATCCCCAGCTTCTCCACATCAGGTACGACCGTAGCTTCACACCACTTTAAAGCACTGCTGCCCTCAGAGTGCTGCTGACAGCACTTCTCAAACTGAACAGATCCTTCTGCATTTCACATCTCATTTTTTATTTTGCAAAAGAAAAACGTTTTGGCCACTGGTATTTAAAAACAGTTAAGAGCTTTGATTCTTTAATGCTATTTCTTTCTCTCCGTAATGAAATAGCTATTACTGTAATCAAATGTAGGAAGCATAAAACAACTCAGATTGCTCAGAATTATTCACTGCTTCTGGAAAAATTGCCCCTTGTTGCTGATGTTATCATAGAATCATAGAATGGTTTGGGTTGGAAGGGACCTCAAAGATCATCGAGTTCCAACCCCCTGCCCTGGGCAGGGACACCTCCCACTAGAGCAGGTTGCTCAAGGCCACATCCAGCCTGGCCTTGAACCCCTCCAGGGATGGGGCAGCCACGACTTGGATGTTTACACACAACTGAGTTGAATGGCACAAGGAAGGTTGGAATTTGGGTCTCTATTTCATAGAATCATGGAATGGGACCTTACAGCCCCCCCAGTGCCACCCCCTGCCCTGGGCAGGGACACCTCCCACCAGCCCAGGTTGCTCCAAGCCCCCTCCAACCTGGCCTTGAACCCCTCCAGGGATGGGGCAGCCACAGCTTCTCTGGGCAACCTGGGCCAGGCTCTCACCACCCTCACACCAAACAAGTTCTTCCCCACATCTCACCTCAATCTCCCCTCTTTGGGTATAAAACCCTTCCCCCTGATCCTATGGCTCCCCTCCCTGATCAGTCCTGCAGGCCTCCCTCAGGTGCTGGAAGGGTCACTAAATTCAATTTCTCTCTGTCTTCATTTAAATATTATTTTTTTTTTAATACTTCTGCAGCATGGGGGAAAAGTTTGCCCTTGAGGTAAATCAAAATAATCACCCGTCTCTGCCCGCGAGGCGCTGTGAGGGGCAGCAGGATGTCCTGCACACAGCGGGGTAAGGAACTTGGAGAAGAAACCTCAGGAAGGACTTAACATCACTCTCTGTGTTCCCCAGCGAGCTGCCAAGGAGAAACAGCCTGATGGGCTGGGCGTGCGGCGGGGGGACACGCTCTGATGGACACGTGGCTGGGAGGCAGGAGGAGGAGTGGGCGTGTGGGCGCTGCACCCTCATCAACCAGCCCGCTGCCCGCATCTGCGACGCCTGCCTGGCTTCAAGGCCTGAAGGTATGGAAAAGATTGTCAGTTTTTACAACTGTAGGACTGTCTCATTGGGAAATGTATGTATATAACTTTAGCCAACTTAAGGAGGGCTACAGAGGGATCTATTTAACCAACAAGGCTACAAAGATGATGAGGAGACTAGAACATCTCTCTGCTGAGGAAAGGCTGAGGGACTTGGGTCTGTTTAGTCTGGAGAAGGGAAGGCTGAGGGGGGATCTGATCAACACCTATAAATACTGAAAGGGTGGGTGTCAGGAGGACGGGGCCAGGCTTTTTTCAGTGGTGCCCAGGGACAGGACAAGAGGGAACGGGCACAAACTTGAACACAGGAAGTTCCATCCATACAAGAGGAGGAACTCCTTTATGTTGAGGGTGGCAGAGCCCTGGCAGAGGCTGCCCAGGGAGGTGGTGGAGTCTCCTTCTCTGGAGACATTCAAACCCCCCTGGACACGTTCCTGTGGACCAGCTCTGAAAGGAGGTTGGACTGGATGATCTCCAGAGGTCCCTTCCAACCCCAGAGCATTCTGTGATCCTGTGATTTTGGGGAAATGTTGCACAGACGATGATGGGAACTGCCTTGTCTTAACCTACAGAGTGTCTCCAGCTGTGCTGGGTACAGCTCCTCTCCCTCTGTTCATTTTTTGGCTGTTGTTTCTAAAATTAACTCCTGTCAGCAGAAATGTTGGCCTTATTGCAGATGGAATACTTGGTACGTGAAGTTAGCTGCTGGCCAGGCAGCCAAAAGAATGCAAAAGGCCAAAATAATGTAATTTACCATTAAATCTCAACTGCCTTGCTGCTTTGTGAAGTACAAGCCCAAGCTCCTGTTCTTTCTGAAATAGACCTGGAACCAGTATGTGTCACTGTGCGGAACCAGAAGGAGGCTGGAAATATGTCTTTTTCAGAGTGAACAGCAGGGATTTTGTTTCTGAGTGGGAGGGCGTGTCCTTGTGTGGGCCTGGTTTCCCCTTTTCCTTCTGCTTAATTCCCTCTTCCTTGGATAGAGGGAAGATGCAGGAGGAGATGGTAGAAAAGGACACTCTGTTCTTGGACTCTGTTCTTGGAACATCAAGTTCTTCTTTTCACCCTTTTCTTGGGAGAAATTATCTACAGGCTCTTTATTTATTAACCCAGAGTTAATAAATTATACCCAGAATAGTAACTTTATTTATTAACCAGAGTTAATAAATTGTACACAGAATAATAATTTATGTCAGGAAATAAATGCCAAATAAATATCTGAATGGCTGGTTTCTGGAGGTTTTGACAGCAAGGGGTGGGGAAGTTTGGATGCGCAAGGTGGTTGGAGAGGATGGGAGCCCTGAAAGCAGTAACCCAATAAAGGACTGTTCCTTTTTGTGTAAAACATTGAAAATGGGTGAGGTGTTGCTGCTGGAGGTACCGCATCCTGCCATCTCCCAGGGCTGGGGGTCTGAAAGGTTCTTCTGACAAACCTAAATATTTGAATCCCTGTCTTTGGGCCAAATTCCATGTTGGACGGTTAATTCTCCACTGGCTTTTGTTTATAGGGTGCAATTCACACCTGGCCCTATTCAAGCAATACTAACCTTACCTTGGAACACGTGGTGTACGTGACTCCAAAAGTGCCTGAGCTTTTTTTGTCGTAAGAAATTTGGTGCTTTATCTCATCTGTGGCCATTTTTGAGCTCTTCCAAGATGCTATGGTTAAAGTTCCTCTTTCCCTCCCTGTATGATGGCTCAGGAACACAGATCAGAAATGTGATGTATCACTCTGCGCAGATGGGATTATAACCAAGAATTTATTCTTCCTTAGTTCCAAAGGCAGAGAATGTTGAAGATTCTGGAGCTTTTAACACAAACTTGATGAAATACCCCTGTAACGAGTTTGGAAAAGGAAGCACAGAAATAAAGATCAACAGGAGAGCGGCGTTTGGAACCGCGACTCTTGTCCTGACAGACCTTGGTAACCAAGGTGATGTGAGAAATGATGCTCAACCATCCCATGGACACTCCCCGTGTGATGCCCCAAAACCCAATTATAATCAAATCCAAACCAGTGTCCACCAGCCTGGGGGAAGCACGAGGGATTTCTCAATGGCTTCCTCCTCTTCTCACCAACCTTTCAAACACATCCCGAAGAAACAGAAGACGGATCATCTACCTTCTGCTCACCAACATAATGCAGCAACAGGGTACGTGTTTGAAAATGTAAATGAGTCTTTTTGTAATCCTAGAAACCAGCTGTAGCCCTGGAGATTCATGTGATATTGTGCTGGCAGAGCCCTGGCAGAGGCTGCCCAGGGAGGTGGTGGAGTCTCCTTCTCTGGAGACATTCAAACCCCACCTGGACACGTTCCTGTGGGACCTGCTCTGGGTGGCCCTGCTCTGGCAGGGGGTTGGACTGGATGATCTCCAGAGGTCCCTTCCAACCCCATGTGATCCTGTGATCCTGTTCCAAATGGAGTAATGAGGAATTTTTCTCCTGGCAGCCCACCTGGAGGGGACAGGAGGGATGGTACCGGGGCGCTGAGCTCGGCCCATCCTCGCTGTGGGCCCCACGGCCGGCCCTGCAGCCTGCGCCGGGTGAGGAAGGAGGGAGAGAACAAGGGCAGGCTCTTCTACTGCTGTGCCCTGCCCAGGGAAACGCGGTGTCACCACTTCCAGGTACGTGGAAAACAGGACTTTTCTAATAACACACGTGTTCCTGCAGCCTCCTCACCCCATGATCTCTAACTGTGCACAGACGTGACCCATTTAAAGTTTGGAGGTAATTTTAAATACTTCTGCAGGCTGAATTGAAACTTAAAGGGTAAGAGTAGTTCTAACCAGGCAGTTTTAGTTATTTTTCTCTCTGCTGAGGAGGCACCTCCTTGTGCAGACGCCCTCACTCCCTTCCATAGGTGCAGATGGGGTTTGTGGTAGAAATGCTGGGTGGAAGGGACTTGGACAAGTTGTTCAGTTTGGCCTCTTGCTTGAAGAGGGGCTACAGCAAACGGCAGGGTCAGCCACGGCTCTGCCAGCCACAAACCTTGGAAACCTCCGAGGGTGAGGGTCCTCTCCTCTGCCTGGGCAGCAGCTCCCACTGGTCTCCAGTACAAACCCCACCTTCTAACTGGTACGATGAACTCAAGACAGCAATGACTGTAACACCTTATTTAGAAGAAATCTACAAATCGGTGATCACAAATGAGATCAAATTAACTGATGAGGAAGAGTTTCTTCTAGGGCCTCTGCTGGAGATGTGGTTTTATTGCCAGATTTAAAATAAGGCATTTGTAGCCATCCCATCTGCTAAATCTGTGTCTAAAACCTGTTGTTTTTGGCAGTGGGCTGACCTGGACTTTCCCTTCTGTCACCACGGCCAGCGCTGTGTGCTGCAGACGGTGTTGAAGATGGGTCCCAATAATGGAAAGAACTTCTTTGTGTGTCCTCTTGGGAAGGAGAAACAGTGTGGGTTCTTCCAGTGGGGAGACAACAGGCTGGGACTGCAGGTTGGTCCTTGATGGGGACGTTCTCCTGCTCTGCTCCTCAGGATGTCCTAAGTGCCTACGACTTTCCTACTCATTTCTGCTTCATTGTGTCTTTTCCCCTCTTCTCTGGTTAATTAGTAACATAGCTCCAACAGCATAAAGCAGATTTGGAAAGAGTAATATTACTTAGTTCTATAAAATTCAATACTGCAGATTGTTGTATTTCTAATAAAAAAACTGAACTGTTTTCTTGTTCTCACATAAATGTCACTGAAGTTTGGCTGCACCAGATACTTTCAAGCATATTTGACTTGCAGAACAGGTAACAATCTAAATCAGTATTTTAAATGGGTAGAATTTTCTATAAATAAAAACTTGTATTTAATAAAAATGAATAAAAAGTCAATATATTTTTTATACAGTTTGATGCTTTATTTCCTGAGAGTTTAAAATGAAATAACAGTGGACCGTGCACTTCAAATGTTGCCATAGTTCAATGTGGGACCCTGCTACATTTGGAAAACAAAGAAGAAAAACTGCCCTAAAATTAATGACATGACTGAGTTTTCTGAATTATGTATTTTAAATCCAGATCTTAATCATAGAATGGTTAGGGTTGGAAGGGACCTCAAAGATCATCGAGTTCCAACCCCTACTGAGCTTCCTCCCCCCACAATCAACATAACACATAATAAAATCATGCCTTTTAGGTTGTTAAATCTCAGTTTACATTCGCTTGTCTTCCCACTTTGTAAAGGCCACGGAGTTGTACTTGAACCTGTAGCCACACGGGGGCAGCCTCCTGTGTGCTCCCACCCCGGGGCTGAGGGCAGGGCTGTACCAAAAAGGCATCTTCTAGTAAAAACTTGTATTTAATAAAAATGAATAAAAAGTCAATATATTTTTTATACAGTTTGATGCTTTATTTCCTGAGAGTTTAAAATGAAATAACAGTGGACCGTGCACTTCAAATGTTGCCATAGTTCAATGTGGGACCCTGCTACATTTGGAAAACAAAGAAGAAAAACTGCCCTAAAATTAATGACATGACTGAGTTTTCTGAATTATGTATTTTAAATCCAGATCTTAATCATAGAATGGTTAGGGTTGGAAGGGACCTCAAAGATCATCGAGTTCCAACCCCTACTGAGCTTCCTCCCCCCACAATCAACATAACACATAATAAAATCATGCCTTTTAGGTTGTTAAATCTCAGTTTACATTCGCTTGTCTTCCCACTTTGTAAAGGCCACGGAGTTGTACTTGAACCTGTAGCCACACGGGGGCAGCCTCCTGTGTGCTCCCACCCCGGGGCTGAGGGCAGGGCTGTAGCAAAAAGGCATCTTCTAGTAAAGCCAGCTCTGGGGCCACCAACAGCAGAAGGACATGGACCTGTTGGAGCGGGGCCAGAGGAGGCCACAGAGACACTGGGAGGGCTGGAGCCCCTCTGCTGGGAGGACAGGCTGAGAGAGTTGTGGGGGTTCAGCCTGGAGAAGAGAAGGCTCCGGGGAGACCTTAGAGCCCCTTCCAGTCCCTCAAGGGGCTCCAGGAGAGATGGGGAGGGACTCTGGATCAAGGGAGCCATAGAGACGAGGGGGGAACAGTTCTAAACTGGAAGAGGGGAGATTGAGATTGGATATTAGAAATTTTTCACTCTGAGGGTGGTGAGAGCCTGGCCCAGGTTGGCCAGAGAAGCTGTGGCTGCCCCATCCCTGGAGGGGTTCAAGGGCAGGTTGGAGGGGGCTTGGAGCAACCTGGGCTGGTGGGAGGTGTCCCTGCCCAGGGCAGGGGGTGGCACTGGGGGGGCTTTAAGGTCCCTTCCAACCTGAACCATCCCATGACTCTATGCTGAGGTTCTATTACAAATGAATCCTGGCATCTCCAGCCCCAGAAAGCGACAGACCCAGGTGTAGGTGACCATCCTGCTCCAGGTTTGCAAAAGCTCCTCTAAAGGGCAAGCGCCCCGGCTGTTGGTGACACAGAAATCTCTGATGAAGACTTGTAACTTCCACTACAAAGAAAGGTGACAGGAAGATTTCCACATGTCTTCACACCCAGTTGGAGTCAACACAACACTCCTTGAAGGCTTGTAGCACCTGTTTGGATGTCCTTCTACTCCAGCCTGTCCTCAGCTGTTGTGAAATGTTAGAAAGGCCCAGGAGGAGACACTGCTTATCTCTTCATTAAAAGCTTTGCAATCTTCTCCATCACTCTTCAGCCCCTTTTCCGTGCTTTTCAGCATTCGCACACAATTTTCTTTCCAAGAGAAAAGAAAAACCCAGACTAAATCTTAGAAAGACAATTAAATAGTCTCAAAATAAGGCTCTCGTGTGGAGGCTCCCTCCCCTTTATTCCAGATTTCTGCCAAATCTGTTTTTAAATGGCAAAGTTGTTGTTGTTTTTTTTTTTCCAGTGACCAAAGCTCTACTTTCCTCCCAAAAGCAGGTGAAAGTTGGTATTATTTGGAAGTAAACACACAAGAGAGACCTTTTTGTGGTATTTAAAACCACAGTTTGATTGTCGGGTTCACCGAAGTTTAAGAATTGAGTTGGGCTGACAGGTAACCCCTCCTGAATCCAACACATCTTGGGATTGTTCACATGATTATATGACAGGGAAAACGAACAACCAATTAAAAAATTAACACCCGAGGAACCTTAGCGCTTTCCTCCTCTTCAGTTTAGACATTAAGAGGAGAAAAGAAATTAAATGCAATCCACTACTTGCTCAGTTGGCTGATTTAGCGAAGGGCTGGAAACCATGAAGTGAAACTGAGTGAATCCTGGAAGTTTATTACATGCAGCACCTAGGAATAAAAGAAAAGAAAAAAAGCAGTAAAATTTGCTACATTTAAGATTAGTGTCTTTGTCATTGTACTTTATCATCTAAAGATTATGTAATTATCCTTTTACAATCTGGCAAGTATTTAATTTTTAAGTAAAAATACAGGGCTATTGGCTGCTGCAGCGCAATGAATGCCCTTAGAACACCGCTCACAACAGCAACAGGAGGCAGGGAAACCTCACTTTCAGTCCTGATTAACTTAATGAGTCCCTCCAACACTAATCTCTCAGCCACAGGGCTATGGGAAAGATGAGATCAAAGAGCAGCCAGCAGCAGCCCCACTAACTAAGCGGCGTTGATTAGCAAATGGTACTTCCTACTCATCTAAGGGCTGACTAATGAGACGTGGGCACAAAGACCCATCTCCACCATCCAACATTCTCCCCACCATATCTAGGGGAAGCATAAACATTCTGGTTTTAAAACCTTCCAATTAATCACACGCAGGCCAGGAAAACACATGAAGGTTGTAAATATATATATTTTTTTTTATTTTTACTAAGACTTGTGTAAATTTTGTGAAAGTCCCAAGACATCAAAATACAGAGGCAAAATTAAAATATCTCGAGTCCCCACTAGGACACGGCTGCCCTGATCTTATGAACGACCAGAGCTGCTGCAGCCTTCAAAGAATAATTAAAAACTTTAAAATCCACCTTCAGTTTTGTAGTTGTGTGACCCTGAGGAGGTCAAAGCAAAATACATACCATAACTCCCAGTGGTGTTGGCGCAGATCACGGCCCCGAAGAAGCGGGGAACGTACTTCTGGATTCTGGAAATAACCTTCTGACAGGCAACTGTGGGGTCTGTTCCCATCCTCATATACTCCACTGCCTGGTAACTGCAAAATAACCCAACCCCACGGCCCCCAGTTAGACATACTCGGGTTCTATATCCTAAAATACCATCAAGAAACCTTGATTTCTTTAAATTAGGAAACTACATGATAAATAATTCATAGTCAAACTTCATATTGGTAATTATTACTCCAGTTCTAGGTGCAAAATAATTAGAAAGAGGACTAAAAGGGACTGCAGGATGTCACCTACAGCATCTCTCCTCCTAAGGCAGGACCAAGAACTGCAAAGCAGCAGTTAAAGAGTTAGTGGCTTCTATTTTTCATTTCGTGATTAATTTCATCATTAAAAGTTACTAATTTTCAAAAAGGCTAACTTCAAGATAAATTGCTGAAGAAAACTGCCCCCTGAGATTACATTACTGATAAATTACTGATTTCAGAAAGCATTAAAAAAATCTTTCAGAAAAAAACTCAGGTTTCTGAAAACCTCCTAATTGACACATTTTATTTGGTGAACATGAAGGTACGATGTTTTGATCAAGACTTTGAGCAAATTTTAAAATTTTTTGCAACGCACTTTAAACAAAATTCTCCCTCTAAATGAAAGAGCAACCAAAAGGAACTTCCTGTGTATCTACAGTGTCATTAGACAAATGACTACATGGGCACAGCCCGAGATCAATCAGTTGTGTTCCCAAAATGTCCCCAGAGGCAAAAAAAAAAGACTTTTTTCAGAACCCAAAGATTAAAAGATATCGCATAATATAACTTGCAAGCAAACAAACACTAGATTTTGTTTTGATGAAAACTACGTATTCTAAGACCAACTCTCATTAGAGTAAGACTCATCTACAGAGAGTGTTAACGATAAATGCTATCAAAGTGCTGCTGCAGAGAACTTCCCCTGCATTCAGAGACTCCCTATTATCTTTGATTTATTCTAACCATCAAATAGTTATCTTCAGCTGACTGGAACCTATCAGAATATGGAGCTGTACTTCACAGGGCTCTCCACTAACCAAACCCACTAAGATCTCAACAAAGGCGGTCGGAAAATATTAGCAATTTTGCCTTTTATTTGACACATGGAATTCCATGGTGTTTTCACCTGGGAATATGTAAATAACGTGGAATTAGGAAAGGTCTGTATCTACAAGGAACCCATGATTAACCAGCCAGGCTGAGTTTTTTTCTAAAACCCACACAAACCATTTTGAGCCTTAAAGCCAAATCCTTCAGGCTGCTAAACCGAGATGTAAGCTTTTATTGATTAACCTCATTAGCAGAGCTCAACTCACTCCTACTCTTGGTATTCATGAAGCTGTTGAATGCCTTTTATTTCAAGACTGGCTTGAAACAGCTTGAAACTCATCGAGGACATCTGTAAATATGGAACAGCTGAGGGTCGTCTCAGTTGACACCTCCCCACCCTCCTGAGTGATCCCAGACTCACCCCCATCCTTTCTTCAATTTGTAACACCTGGTTCCCACACAACAAAATATTTGGAGGAGAAAAAGCTGATCAGCTCTGTTAAAAACCATGCAGGTTGGGGATACAGAATCACAGAATCCCGTGGGATTGGAAGGGACCTCTGGAGATCATCCAGTCCAACCCCCTGCCAGAGCAGGGTCACCCAGAGCAGGTCCCACAGGAACGTGTCCAGGGGGGTTTGAATGTCTCCAGAGAAGGAGACTCCACCACCTCCCTGGGCAGCCTCTGCCAGGGCTCTGCCACCCTCACAGGAAAGAAGTTCCTCCTCATGTTTAGATAGAACTTCCTGTGTTCAAGTTTGTGCCCATTTCCTCTGTCCTGTCCCTGGGCACCACTGAAAAAAGACTGGCCCCATCCTCAGCCTTCTCTTCTGAAAAGACCCAAGTCCCTCAGCCTTTCCTCATCAGAGAGATGTTCTAGTCTCCTCATCATCTTTGTAGCCCTTTGCTGTACCCTCTCCAGCAGTTCCCTGTCCTTCTTGAACTGGGGAGCCCAGAACAGGTCCCAGTGCTCCAGATGGGGCCTCACCAGGGCAGAGCAGAGAGGGAGGATGGCCACCCTCCACCTGCTGGCCATGCTCTTCTTGATGCACCCCAGGGGACCATTGGCCTTTTTGGCCACAAGGGCACACTGAAGGGATTAAGGGATCTGTCACCAAGATGTTTAAGAAGTCACTTCTTCTAAGACAGATCATGAGGATGACTCAATTCTGCTGCTGTTCTTTCCCCGTCTGCTCCTTCCTTTACTCCCACTCCAGCAGGCAGTAAGTCAGACTGGTTTGTTAATTAATTACTTCATTTGCCACATGCGTGTTTTGCTGGAGAAAGCTCCCAAAACCTGCCCGAAGGACAAACCTGGGTAAGAAGCGCATCATGATGTCACCGTCGCCGGTGGCCGCAGCTCCTCCTGCTGTACTGTCTGCGTAGGATCCCGCTCCAGCTAGGGGAGAATCTCCTACACGCCTGGGGAAATAACCAAAAACCTCAGAACTGGAGACATTTACTAATTCCAGTGGGATTGCATTAAGGTAATATCTCTTGGACTGATGTTGGCACGTTCTTGTGTCACTGCACTGCCCTCAGAAATCTCAAAACCTCACCTCACAAGTTGCCCCACAACTGTGCCAGTTGTTTGTGTCTCTATGGCGAATTAAACCTGCTGGAAAACAAGCATTCCCTCCAAAAACACTAATTATCTCGCAACTTAATCAGTTTCTCAGTATTAGGATTTACTGAGGCAGTGCCCAGAAATAAGCAAGACCATTTTGTGATCATCACAGTATAAAATGTAGAACCTTTAGATCAGCTTAGTATAAGGTGGGAAAAAAGCTTTTTTTTTTTTTCTGCAAAAGCAGAGATACTGACCCTGGAATTTTGTGGATTGCACCATTAGTGGATGTCCCAGAAGCAACGGCTCCCCTCGCCCCAATGACAACCATACCTAAAATTATCAACAGGGAGAAAACATATTGTGAAACAAATTCATTGGCACAACAGGGTCATCAAACAGAAGCCCAACACCCAGAGTGTGGTTCTCTGACCTCCCCAACCAGTACCTCCTCCTCAGGGAAAAGCCTCCTGACCAGTAACACCTCAAAGCACAGAGGCACTGACTCCATGGCCACCATCAGCCTCTGCAATGGGGCTGGAAGGGTATCAGCTCCTACCAACCTCCCAAATGCTTTCCAAACAAAGACTCTTCTCAAAATGTGCTGGTCAAGGAGATATTTCATACGTAAGAAATACATAAGGGTGGGAGAACTTCAGAATTTGGAACATTGCCTGACTTCTGTAGGACATTAATTGGTTATTAATGGGCTGGACTGGAAGCAAAGAAGAAAGATTCCTACTTGAAACAACTTGTTAATTTTCTTGGTATCGCAAATACTGGCCTGACTTCTGTAGGACATTAATTGGTTATTAATGGGCTGGACAGGAAGCAAAGAAGAAAGATTCGGACTTGAAAGAACTTGTTAATTCCTGGTATCGCAAATACCGTCAGGCAAAAAAGCTCTGAATTGCTAAATTGAGAAAAATCCACACTAAACTAAACCAAAAAGCGCAAGTTTCAAGACTACAAAGTGTAAAGCCTTGAAAGAGATGAATCCGTAACCGCTCCAGTCCTTTTGTCTGATCTGCTCATTAGTCAACTTACAGGTTTAGCAATTAAACGTCCTCAATCAGAAAGCTCTTAGAAGTTTTTGGGGACTACTACTGCTAACTTGTTTTAAACATTGTAGTTTCTGTAGAAATTTATTGATTCAGTCAAAAGCCAGAACAGAATAAAAAATGAAAGCAAGCTTTATTTTCTAAGGTTAAGGACTTATAAATGTTGCTTTTGGCTGGCAACAGGAACTGTTTACTCATTTCTTCCACCTCCGCAAAGCTTTTTAAGTTTGCCTACACAGCTCCCAGGGGAGACTTGACCTAAGTTAACCATAATCAAGATAAAAATAATTATTTTAAACCTTGATGAGTTTTCTAAGCATCCACAGCTGCCTCAGCAATTCTGCCAAGGTATCTGAGGGAAAGGCAGGAGGGCAAGGAACAAACAGCTAAGGGCAAAAAATGAAGCAAGTGACTGCACTCCATCCAACCACTTAAGTAACAGAATCTCAAAATCATTATAAATAGGAATTAATGCTTATAAGAAATACTTTTCTTTAAATTCATTATGATGTAATCTGTAGGGGAATGAGGAAAAATAAATCAGAATCAGAGTTACCAAAAGTTGTTACCAATAGTATCATGATTATGAAAACTTCTTTGTGAGGTGGTCTCTTCTTCTTCTTTATAAGTCATTTTTTCAGGCCGTTTGTATGGTCCACAGGATTTTGAAGAGTCTGGTACCACATTCTGTAATTATTTTGTGATTTGCATGAATAATGTATCATTCTTCATTACAGATAAATTTAAAAATACTACAATCAATAGCTATAATCTACTACACAGGTATCAGATGCCCAATGCTTAAATTATATACAGCTGTACTGAAATCCCCCAAGTTGTTTCACTTAAAGAATAAAGATTTACTTCTGGTATTATAGGGTAAAAAGTTTTTCCTATTAGGAAGCTATGTTCTTCAAATTAAAGATTTTCCTCTGCTCAAATGACTGGTCAAAATAAAAATAATTTTAAAAAAGCTCATTTTTTGGCAAAATGAAGAAAATTTTCAAGCTGAAAAACCAACCAGATGAACTGATATAATAATATCACAGTCAAGATCCTATTTTCCCAACTGAAAACCAGATTCTATGAAATATGAAAACCTCTTTATGATGGAGGGGAGCCTTAGGAAGAGGGAAAAGGGTTTGACACTGAAAGAGGGGAGATGGAGCTGAGATGTGGGGAAGAACTTGTTTGGTGTGAGGGTGGTGAGAGCCTGGCCCAGGTTGGCCAGAGAAGCTGTGGCTGCCCCATCCCTGGAGGGGTTCAAGGCCAGGTTGGAGGGGGCTTGGAGCAACCTGGGCTGGTGGGAGGTGTCCCTGCCCAGGGCAGGGGGTGGCACTGGGGGGGCTTTAAGGTCATTTCCAACTCTAACAATTCAATGATTCTAGGTATTAAATAAAAATGGTTCAGCGACACAGCATTTCATATCCAAGAAACAAGGTGTACAAACGTGTAGAAATCTGCAACACCAACCCCAAAACAAACAAACAAAAAAATACCCCAAATGCATCAAATCAACCTGACCACGACAGACAAGCTTAATGGACAGTTGCGCTCATCTGATGTGTTCACAGGTCTGCAAAAAGCCTCTCTAAAAATTTATGCATGCATCAAAAAACACATACACTGGTTTGTTTCGTTTGAGAAGTCCTTACCTAATGTAGAGCTAAAAAAAAAATAAATTCCCCCACCAAAACGCTACTGCAGCACGGTCAAAATCAGCAGGAACTGAGAAGAGCTAGAGATGTTCTACTCCCAAGTCTACCAAAATGCTTGGGAATTCCAAGTTTGTTCTGTTTAATAAGCAAAAAGTTTATCTTTTATTCACATGCAAAGCACAACTTCAATATAAGCTGAAAGGAAGAGGCATTACTGACTTCCTAACACGCCCCCGTCACCGTACCTTCCAGTAGTTTGGCTGACAGCTTTGGTTAAGCCACTTGGAATACGCCGAGAGAGAATTTTGGGTCGTTAAATCTTCATACGGAAACCCCATTTTTACAGCAAACAGGGAAGCTTAAAAAGCAAAAACAAAAAAAACCCATTAATTTATTGACATTTCAATATATTTTATGATAACGCATTCATGTAACGTTATCTAGAAATCAAGAAATTCTACATTCTCTATGGAAATGAGAAATATGTCTTCAGGGAGCAGTATCGGGTGTTATATTGATCTACAACTGAAATAGCAAACTCTCCCTTCACTGGCAATATCAAATTTCCTCAATTCACTATAATTATGTCAACACACGTAAGTTTCACCCTTGAAAGAGAAACAAATTCAACTCTGTTAATCAACTGGACACAAATAACGTGGAGGAAGAGTGGCCTGGGCTGTGCGTGTGCCAGAAATATTTACATAAATGATACAAATATTAGTATATTTCCCTTTAAAATCTAGTCTTTGTACAACATTTGCCACTAAAACACAGATACTTGCAGAAATCAATCCACCAGGCACATCATAGTACCCTTCTTCCTCACAGCTTTAAAAGCCATCCTTTCCTTGTTTTGAAAATTAAAACAGGACATGTCAAGGGAGCAAAAGAAATACCAACACAAGCAATGAAAACGCTGTGCTTCTAAGAGTGGCTTCTATAGTCAGGGAAAAGGGAAAAGCAAAAAAGATCAACTGTCTTTTTATCTTTTAGTTGTAGATACCTTTGACATTACCCAGTAACAGATACTGGTGCTGGATTCAGAAGCTGGGATTTATATAAGCAATCCTTGATAATAATGTCACCGTCACACACAGCTCAACGGGCTTCTCCATTCCCAGCATTTAGAAAAACCTTCAATTATTTCTGGACAGCTTTTCTGTGGTTTTTCTTAAAAACCGACACAATTAAAGTTTCTTTGCACTCAGAGGAAAAGAAAACCGATGGCTTCAATTAAACAGATATTTATTTTCCCATTTCTAGAACAAACAGGGGGTTTTTGTTGTTGGTTTGTTTGTTTTTTTTTCTTTTTAAGGTAAAATTGTGCTTGTACGTGTTTGTCAGTTATTTTTTCATGACCTTTGAAGCCTCATTTCTGTTCCAGGAAGCAGAGTTGGTCATTTTTACTCTCTGAACTTTTTATTTGAATTATTGGCCTAAGAATTGCTGGGACAAAAAGGCAGAAGGTCAGGTCCAGATGAAACTTTACCATCCATTGGGAGATAAATCTGAAAATCTCTTGGCAGGTGACAACCAAAAAATATTTTTTGGTTTTTTTTTCTCACTTGTAATCATTCTGCACTGGATGTCCCTCACCAGACTCAGCTCTACATTAGGATATGTGGCCTTTATTGATGTTTTCTAAGACTTTATAAAAATATCTAAAAGTGGGTGTAAAGAAGATCAAATTGGGCCCATTTTGGTGGTGCCCAGTGACAGGACAAGAGGCAACAGGCACAGCCTGAATGGCAGGAGGGTTCCTCTGCGTGTCACAGCTGCCTCCTCCCCTCTAGTGCCAACCACTCAGAGAAATGAAAGTTTAGGAGACAGGCAGACTTTCCTGGGTTATATCACTAAATATATTCAAATAAAAATGCAGTTTAGTTATTGGGAAAAAAATATAAGGAATAAACTCAGCAATTTTGCAGCTTGAATAAAAAAAGCCTGCAGAGATTATATATTTACATGAACAGTTTTTACTGTTCTAGCTAGCTTTTCTAGTGAAAATGTAAATATTTTTATTCAGAAAATAAACTCTTTTCTTGTACATGCTGATTTTAAGGTCCAAATGTATTCTTCTGAAGCTACAGCTCTATTTTCTCCTTATCAATCTTCACCTGGCAAAGACAACTAGAGTTTCCTTTGTTATGCATGTTCCTATTTCCACACAGAATAATATTTCTCTTGAAGGAATGTATTTTTTCTCAATTTCTTCCACTGCTTTGATTCATGCACTAACATTTATCACCATCTCCAATTTTTACTCAGATATACCTTCAGCTTTCCTGTTTGGACTTGGCATAACAGCCTTGTCCACACGACTGCATTATGCAAAGAGCTTCCCATCTTAGGCTGGAAAATATACTTTAAATCAGCACTTTAATTCTTCTGTTTCTCCAGCTTTATCTTTTTTTCTGCTCATTCTACCAAGCAAAAGTTAAAAATATTTTGATAGCTACCAAAGATGGGGAAAGGAGTACTATGAGCCCTTCTTCCTCCTCTGTTTAACACCCGACCAAGTTCTTTTTCAGCATCACCTGTGAAATCTCTCACACCAAAGCCACTTGTAACCCAACCACGCTCAACTGCTCAAATCAAATACAATCTGCAAATCCATCTCTCTCTTTTCAGAGCTTCTGTCAAACGCTGTCCTCACCTCCCTCTATTTGCCCCATTTTACTCCATCAAAAAACTGCTGTTGCACTTATTTTTCTACAATTCTGTGCACATTAATTCCTTCCAGAATCTTTTCTCTTTTCTTATCAGTGTCAAAGCACTTGACTTACCCTTTATGCTCAGATTTCCATTTCCACACTTATCTCCACATTTCTTTCTGAGCAGGCACGTATGGTTTAGAAGTCCTTAACCGTGAGCCAAGTAACCTTCCACTCTCTCCTTATATATCTCCTTGGAACATACATCTCTTTCAAAACCAGTATTATTCTAACAGCAGCAGCTTGTATTTTAAAAGTTCAACTATTCCTCCAGTTTGCTCTTTTTCTGTGCCTAAAAGTACGGCCCCAAAGGACTTTTTTTTTTTTTTTCACATTTAAGTTCTCAGTAATATTTTTTAACTATGAAAGACTGTAATCATGCTCAATATATACTGAAATGTGATTTGAAATGTGATTGTGTCTGTTAATTCTGTCACTCCTTAGAAAAAGTTACTCCATGGTTTTAAATGAAATGTTTACATCTAAAAGCTTCTATAGTGTCTTGTATCAAATCATCTTTGATACCTTTGAGATCAGTAAGGCTTTGGGATTACAAGGTAATATTTGAAGTTAAATTGGTGGAAAAACCATAAAATTGTATTTTTATTTTCCTGTGCAAATAATGGACTAAACCCTAATTCATACATACATAATAAGAGAGTAAACACTTCTGAATTATTGGACTAGATTAATTTGATTGCCAGGGAATCCTTCCACCTATATTACCAAGATTATTATACAGCAATTTTAAGAGGAAGTGTTTTAAGAAGAAGGTAACACTTGGAAACAGTTAAAGGAATAATTACCTGACTCTCCCACTAGTAATGTATGTTTAGTGTATTCAATGACCTTTCGTGCTACACCAATTGCATTCTTCACACGTCTGAGATCTGCCACTGCCCCAACTTCCATAGTGTTGCTGGAAAGAAGAAATATTTAAAACTTATTAAAAATACCAGAATAATCATACATTTTTTGTTAGATAGACTCTGTTCTTGTTTAAATTAGAAAGTTTGCTCCTTTAACATATTGCTTTAATTGTTCTATGCCATAGACAGATGGCATCACACTAGTAGGGAAAAGCTTCAAATATATATTGTTTCCTTTCCTAGGCATGGGAGTGTTGCTGAAACAACAGTAACTCCATCCCCAGTAGTACTTTCATTAGAGTAACTATTTTGTTCCATAAACTCATGAGTTTTCTTACCCATCCATAATCATGGCATCCAGTGTTGTTTCTCCACTTTCATCCGGGCTTCCCCCGTAGCCCACGCTCCCATCGCACTGCTCAATCTCACACTGGCCACAGCCCCTCTCCACCGCATCCAGCTCAGAGCCTCCCTGCTGTAACACTCCCCAAGCTGCAATCAACACAAATAATTCAACGTCACCAGTGATAAAAGCCTCCACTGCTGCTTTAAAGGCTGTGTTAAAGATGGACGTGATGAAAATGCACTATAGAAGTGGATAAAAAAAATAAACTATAGCTTATAGGTGAAATAAAGTCAAAATACAAATATATTCAAAAGAATTTAAAGCATTACTATTCTGCTTAGTGTTTCTGACTGAGAAATGAAGCTTTTTTCTGACTGGGAAGGTGTTATTTACTAACAATCATCACAATTTCTACATATTAAATAACCTCCTCTGCCCAGAACCAACCGCTGTTTACTTAAAGCCTTTTGGGGGTAGAGAGAGGGGGAAGCAAAACATTTTTTTCTCAGAAAAAAAAAAAGGTTGTAACAAGCAGCCCTCAAAAGCTTCATATGAGAACACCAAGTGTCCAGCTGCAGAAGCAAAAGATCTAAACCACACAGTGATCTAAAAGATCCAGACCTACACCAGTAGCTATGGAAGAACAAAAAGAAAATGGAAATTATATACAAGAAACTCCCATCTCCACATCCTCCTACTCAACCCTTAGACTTCTGTTCTTTAGGATCTAGCGCATGGTGCAGTTTCGTAAGACATTACAGACGTGCCAAATGACATGACTCGAATAAACGGGCCCGAAGGCTTTGCAGTTGGGACATTCCACAATATTGGACACCAAGCAAGATTTTCCATGCTGCTGCCGTGGTCCTGCTCCTTCCTCCCTGTGCTGGTGCTCCATCCCCTGCCAGACCCAAGCCCAGGGCAGCAGCAACCTACAGCCCAGTGCTTTTTGGCAGAATTAAACTATTACCCATCTCAAACATCTCGAGAAGCCTCATTTTCACAAATGCTGCATGCACCTGCGTGGAGCTGCCTGCAGCAAGACAAAAATAAGGCTTAATACCTAGCATCCAACTCCACACACGCTTGTCTTTATTATAAACTTCAGTGTGAGGAGCACTGCTCCAATTCCTATAACCTGTGTTGCTGTGGGCAGCCTTAACACAAGCTTTCAAAGACTGCAAACCAAGGACCTTGCCATTTTCACGTCTGCGTCTCTCTTCTGATCTATGCAAGGCTCTACAGACACCCCATTTCACTAGCAAGGCTTCCGTCAGGAGGGGTAATTTGCAACCCAACTGTGGCAAAACAGCCTAGGAGTCTTTTAAAACCAGTCATAGAATGGTTTGGGCTGGAAGGGACCTTAAAGCTCCCCCCCCAGTGCCACCCCCTGCCCTGGGCAGGGACACCTCCCACCAGCCCAGGTGGCTCCAAGCCCCCTCCAACCTGCCCTTGAACCCCTCCAGGGATGGGGCAGCCACAGCTTCTCTGGGCAACCTGGGCCAGGCTCTCACCACCCTCACAGCAAACAAGTTCTTCCCCACAGCTCGTCTCCATCTCCCCTCTTTCAGTGTCAAACCCTTCCCTCTCCTCCTATGGCTCCCCTCCCTCATCCAGAGTCCCTCCCCAGCTTTCCTGGAGCCCCTTGAGGCACTGGAAGTGGGGCCGTTAAAACCAGTCACCGGTGGAAACGGCCAGGGCAGTACAAATTAGCACATAATTAGCGGAGGAATGTTTCTGAAGTGAACATGACCGGCAGGGGGGAGCCGTCCCTCACAGCCCACTTCTTTTTGCCACAGGGCCAGGCCTGAGGGCCTTTTCCTCTCAGCCACCAGCCCCAGCCCCGCCGGCCCCTCACCCCCCCGCTCCCCCGCCGCGGCACCTGTCTCCGCCGCCTTCCTAAACGCCCAGGTGTTGATGACTAGGGGAAGGCCGGCGGCTGAGGCGGCTCCCGCCAGCTGCAAGGCGACCAACAGGAGGGGAGCAACCACCGCGCTCCGCCGCCCGCCGCCATTGCTCCCCGCCGCCGCCATGGCCGCCCGCGCGCATGCGCGGAGGGGGGACAGCGCGGCGGAGGGATACAGCCCCTGGCGGTGGAGATGGTGGACGCGGCGGAGGGCGCCGGTCGCCGCGAGGGGGTGGTGCTGCGCCCCTTTGAGGGAACTGTGTGGGGAGGAGGAGCCCAAACGCCTCCCAGCAGCAGCTGCCGCCCGGAGCAGGTTAAAATACAGTTTTTATTTACTATATATCTGGGCGGCAGGGCTGTGGGGTGGGGGCACCCCCTGTAAAGCGTGTTTAGACGCAGTTTTTGCCTGTTAGCTGTGAGGGTCGCACACAGCGTCTCTACGCGCCGCCTGGTTAACCAACACGTGTCTTCAGGGTGCAGAGGTGTTTCTGCAGAGGGTGTGGTGTGGGATCTACTATAGCGAAGTGCTCATGGAAGAATTAGTAAAAAGCCCTTGCTTTCTAGAAATCATAAAGCAAGGAATTTCTGCTTTCTGCCCCCGTCTTATTTTTGCCCCCGGCCATCAGCCTGCTGTTATTTCTGAACAGCGTGAAAAAAAGGTGCCTTTTGCTTCTCCCAGAGGAAGTGGATATAAAATATACTCCTTTTTTCATATACTTTTTCAGCTCAGTCTCATTACTCCTTATCTGCACCTTATATGATGGGCCAAACTCAATTACACTTCCCAGCGATGTCTCTGGTCTTGTATTTGTAGTAAGAGGAGACGGTTGAACCTCCCCTGTGTCAAGCTCGTAGATGTGCATTAATTCCAAGTAGCATACATTGCTAAGTGTGCCCAAGGTGGTTTAAAAGGCCTGAAGCAATATCATTTTTATTATAGCAAAATGATCCACGGGCTTTGTAATTAAATGGTTGTCACGAGAGAAACGTATTGTCCTTTATTACAGAAGTTACAAAATAATAAAATAGCGTGGCCTTGGGTTCAGCCAGTTCCCAAAAGCAAAGGTACAAGTAGTCTGGAGAAACCTGTACTCAGGTAAATACTGGTAGCCAATTTATTTCTGATGTTACCCGTCTTATTTCTGACACGTATTTCTATGTAAAACTGTTAGGGAAGGGAAAAGGGCCAAAATACAGATCCGAATTAATGTTAGCTGAAGGAAAACACAGGAAAATATTTTCAGGAAAGCAATTTAGTAACAAGTGCAAAGGAAAACATAATCAACCATATGCCTAAAAATTGATACATTAACGATATTTTTCAAATACTGTTTTATTTAGCCAGATAAAATGGACCATTATGAAAGAAAAACACTTTGATATGGGTGTCATTCAAGTAAAAGTGTTGCCTTGTGATGGCTGCATCTGCAGGCTGAGCCTGCACAGCTGTGGAGAGAATGTTTTGTACAACTTGGAACAGCATAACATTGTGCTTTGAGGCTCGTGTAGACACTCGGTTGATTTGGTTTCCGTGGCATTCTTTCTAGCTGGCATTCAAATGTGAATGACTTCCTGCTAGAAATAAATGCCATCATCAATCTGTGCTTTGCTGTATACAAGGCTGTTTAATATCATATATTTTTATGCGAAGTGGGAAAAAAACCTTACAAAGCAGACGCTGCTCTCAGATACAGCATGTGTAAAATCAACAGCGAGGTCAATAAAACTCTGGTTTTCCATGCTGAAAGCTGAGGAGAATTTGAGAAGTATCTGTCCAAGACAGCCCTCCACCTCAGTTGTGCTGCGTCCATCTGGGCTCTCGATTTGCCTTCTGTCTCTGATATAAAGTATTTTAAGATTGGACTTTGCATTTAAAACATGTTTGTATTTTCATAAAAAATTAGCTGTTGTTTTATATCAGTTCTTCCTACAATCTATTTGTCCCCCAATACTTACTGTTAGCTCACAGACAATAGCTAAGATAAGTGGTGATAGTGGTAGACTTTTGTCTCTGCAGCTAAAAAACAAATCAGTGTTTCCACAAACAGATTTTTTCATCAAATGCATAATATTGAAAGAATATTCTAGAGAAGGGCTTGTATGGGCAAGGGATTTCTGAAAGGACCTACCACAGACAACACTGTGACTGAATGGCAGAGTAATTAATGAAAAACACAGGAGGAAATTCACCTCTTTCACTGGGAGTGTCTGTTCCTACAGTGGCCAAATTCTGACCTCAATTATATCTGTGTGACCTTATCTAGCACCATCTGTTCAAAAAATGCACACCTGGCTCCTTTTTGCTGTCTCGAATTTCCCATAAGTGTGCTTTGAAATCTAAGTATTGCAGTTATAGCTGTAATTTGTTTACATTTTAATCTTGATTTTACTTGCACTTTCTAATATTAAGGTACACAAACACACCAAAAGCAAATTTGAGAATAATTTTCATAATAAAAATAATCAACTGTTCATTAGCATTTGCTATAAAAACATATATATATATATAAAAACAAAGTGTGAATTTTTTTTTGGCACCTAGGATTCTGAATCCATCTTACTTCTAATTGAAAAATATTTTTAGATGACCCTGTGTTGTGGTGTTCTGTTTTGAGTGGATTTGTGGAAGCACTATACTCTCAGGTTTTAAAATTATTTTTTTTTCCTCTTTCGATCCCTTTCATGGTGTCTTACAATATGTATGTTCTCTCATTCACTGAATGACACTGGAAAGGATGACAAGATTTACTCATGGTGAACATCTCCATTGTCTGCCTCTTAAATCTTCTAGGAAAGACCCTTATGCCCTCTCTCGTGCTTGGGAAGAGCTATTTATAAACATTTTCAAAGCTACTTAGTTATCCTCGCTGGAATCCTCTGTAAAACTCGGTGTCAGTGTGAGGCCTGTCAAAAAGCATAACGTTCAAATCAGACGATTATCCAGACCTCTGCCTCGCACGCTGTCTTCACATTTTCACGTCTTTCTCAACAATCTTTTTTCTGTGTGTTACCTGTTCTCTTTCACTCCTACTTTTGGGTATGGGTTGTCATTTCATTTTAAGTTTGTACAGCGTATGGCACCCGCGTGTCCTAGCTTTGATCCTTGACAATACATTAATAAGCATTAATATCAATAATGAGAAAAAATATAGATGCTAATTATAACAGCCCAGCAGCCATCAATAATGACTAAACAATAACAGTCATGTTTCCATTGCTAAATTTGCTTTTGTTGCCACTTTTAACCAGATTGCTGAGTTACAGTAGCTTACTTTCTAACTGTGTAACCACAAAATAATTACACATCACAGAAGAATATGTTCTTACAGGATTGTTTTGGCCTGTTGTAGCATTCTGTCTCAAAACAAGTTATGTGTAATATATTTCCTATTTGTAATTGCTCTACGGGTCCACTGCAGTAATAAAGTTGTCATATGGAACATGTAATTGACCGCTTTACGTTGCTGGAACTGCTTTTTTATTACAACTCCTTATAACTTTATGATGGCTTCGTAAATGTGATCCATGGCAATAATAAGGTTGTTGGACAAACACGGCAACTTAGTGTTTGCTTCCCCCCAAGTCTGAAAGTTGTCTTGATGTTGTTAAATGAGCATACTTGGAAGTTTTCAATGTTGAAAGGAAAGTGACCAGAAACTTGCATTATACAAATATTATCTTAGAAATATGGCAACATATAATTTCTACTTGTATTTCATGTGGTTTGAGTGAAATGGCTGAGATGCAAAGCACAGAAATACAGTTATGAGCTACCACTACATTTTTAAGTTCATTTTTGTGCCAGAAATTGACCTTTTGTACTGATTAAATCATATGATGTGATGCCTAGAGACACGGGGGCAAGCCAACGGTTAAGCAGCAGGTGTGAGTCTGAATTTACTTATTTTGCGAGGATTAACCTCATTATTTGCGTTTAATAATCTCAGCCTTTCCTGGTCACACAAGTGCAATGCCACGGAATGCAAAGGAGACTGTGTAAATAGAAATAACATCAGGATTTTGCTTCAGCTTTTGTGTGTTTTCATTCTGTATAAATATTTTGCAAATTCTAAAAGCTTTTACTTGAGAGAAAGAAAAAATATCATCTAAAATATTAAACAAAAACATCAGTAAGATCAGATTGCTAAAATTGGTCAAGTCCAGTGACTTTACTTAAAGGGCCTTTATGACTTGGTGAAAAAGTGGATAATGTTATATTGAAACTGACTCTATAGCCTTGCATCCAAAAAAAGCCCCAAAACCTAAATTTTTTGAAAACATACCCGTTTAATGTATTTTAATCAAAGCACAAGTTACTGGGAATATGGCAGCAGGGAGGAGGAGCAGGGAATCCTGAGGAGATCCCTTTGCCCTGTGTTACAACAAATTGAACAAAATGTGGCTGGTTTGTCCATAACATTTATTTTGTTGATTTATTTCTCAAATTGTAACAATTTCCCATTTTGACTTAATCCATGTGCCACATTATCTAATAAAGTTTTCTTCAAAAGGCCGATCCCAGCAAATATTATTTAAGATGAAACTACTTACAGACTTCAAGAGAAAATACATCTTATTATTTGTTTAGAAATCCTTTCTAACATTTGTTAATTTCAGTAATTCTTGAATTGGAAATCCGATTACACCTGGGAGCTACTTTGACCAGTAAAACCATTCTGGGTGCAAAGATGGTTGCTGTCCTCTGAAGTAGGGTGATCACTTTTCTCTAACTTGATGTCTAAAATTGTGTATTTCGTTTTATTCATTGTCATTATCAGAGTTTTCTCTGATCAAACCCCCATTCTAATCCTATCTATTTAGGTATCAGATGTACGCGTTCTATTTACTGTACACCAAAAAAAAGTGTACAGAATCAGGGACTGCTTCATTTTCTAATACCTAAAAAATACCTATAATACCTTCAGTTGCTTTATTGAGAACGTCTTCATCAATGTACAGTCATGATGGGCCATTCTTTCAGGTGCTTGCACTGGCAGAGGATTCTCCTCCTTTAAACAAAGGCTGGTGCCAATTCAGTTTACGCTGTTTCAGTTTCACCTCAGCAGTTCCAGTTTTCTGTCTTGTAATTTCTGTATTCAAAGTTAAACTGTTACTATTTTTACCACTCTT